AATCACCTGATCTTGGAAAGAACCCAAGTGTCCATCAACTTAGGAATGGATAAAAAAGTGGTGGTATTTCTATACAATGGAGTACTACTCAGCTATAAAGAAGGATCACATTGAGATATTTATCAATAAATGGGCGCAGCTTGAGACCATACTCATAAGTGAAATAAATCAATCTCGCATGTGTGAATACCGAATAGTTTCCCTAATGTAAGTAATGATTCAAATATATAAAAATATGTGGTAATCATGATTCCCCATTATGTGGCCTTGAAGCCTTATAAATTTTTCACTTATTAATTGGAAAGGCTTTATTCTGGGGTTCTTGATATGGAAATATTTGAAGCTATAGTATATGAAGTTTTATTCAAATATTTCAAGGAAAAAGACAGACATTATGGTAACTACTATTAAGTCGGGTTATTTGATGGTGAAGCACTAGGTGGCTGAAACAGTCATGCTTTGACCTGTATTGTTATATTGTTATGTCCTGTTTTATCTCAATCTCTCCCTTATTCTTTAAAAATTTATTTAGTTATTTCTTATGTTTTTTTTAATTAAGGGGAAAAATTTAAAAAATTAGCAGGATATATAATAGTAACTTTTTTTGATTTCGTATTATCTTGTTTTGAAGTCCTGTAATACTCCCACGATCTTGTTTTGACTGATTAGACTCTGTTCCATTCTGTATGGTAGTATCAAGTTTGAGGGTATAGGCAACTACTTTGAAGGCAATAAGATTCACTAAGATGCCCATTCTGGTTTGACTATTGTCTCCTTTGGAAGTCCTGTAATGTTTACAATGCTTAAGTTTTATTGGTCTTGTTTTCTACTGTTTGTTCAACTTTATAATATCTATTGAGATAGACAATTCTTTTTAAGGAAACAAGAGACATTGTTGATAACTTTGTACTCTGTTTTACACCATGTGCTATGTCTATCCCTGGTTTTGACTGACAGCATTGTTTTGCCACATTTGACTTTATTCTCTCCCCCCACAAAAAGTGATAAGAACTAAGGAGTAATAAAACCCAAAATGTGTAAATTTTGTTGTAAAAAAGAGAGGGAAAAAAGAGCTCTAAAGGATATAACAGCAAGTGTGTTTAGGGGTGTTAAATAGCCGACCATATTAATGTTTTTGGTTGGATCATTGAACACAACTGTTTGCAGTCTCACTGTTTGAATGTCCACTTTGTATGCTTTGATACTGTGATTTGAGCAACTATCTCTAAGATGATAATATGTAATGTATTACCTGGTGATATCTTTTTTGTTTTTTTCGGTTTTTTTGTAGTTCTGTATTACTTGTACCATTACACCGCTTTGTTTTGTTTTGTGTTTTTCTCTTTTTCCTTTTAAATAAAATTAAAAAAAAAAAAAAAACAAAGGAGTACCCCTGGACCCAGGCTTGTATTGAAAAGTACACTTCTGCCTGCTTCCGCCACAGTACTGGGAAACTAAACTTCTCTCTACATTTTAATTTATTTTAAGCCTCTCTTCACTTTGGGAAATTCATGCTTTTTGCTTTTTTAAGACCATGTTTTCTGCAAATAAATCTGCAAGGACTGTATTATCTAGAAACCAAAGGCCTTGGTGATTATCCTTCTCCGGGTGTGTCCACATTTGGAATATGGAAATTAGCTGTGGAGATCTGTTGTTTGAGAGATGATCTCTTGTCACCTGAGTTGGTCACTTCTGGTCAGTGAGATGATCGCCTCTCACTCTTCTGGGTTCTCTGGGGGCCAGAGCAGTCACTGCCACAACAGTCCAGGTGTTACAGGGAGCTGAGGTAGGCAGAGACATCACAGGCAGTGGCACAGGGCTAGGTCCTGGATGAAACCAGTGCAGAAGCCCAGAGACCTGTGACTGTGAGGGAGACAGTCACCTCCTGCTGTGGGCCGGGCCTCAAGATAAAAGATCAAAGAAATGGATCCATGTCCCAAGGACTGATATTCTAAATAGTCCTCTCTCCCCCTGAGGAGGTTAGGAGTCACCTCCCAATGCCCTACAGGAAGAGTCACTGCTCTTAAGCATGCCCCCTTACTGTGCGACTGGCTTCCCCATTTGTCCCCAATTTAATCAATTCTACCTGAGCCATTAATCCTATTGGTTAAACATGGTTCTGTACCAACTTATGCCCAACCCTTGCAAGTTCACAAGTTTTCCTCACCTTGGACTTGTCTCACCTTGTAGTTTTACTCTGTAAAAGTCCCTAGAAAAGACAGTCTTTGGCAACCTTCTCTGGACCTCTTCTGTCTCTCTCAGAAAGAAGCTTTCTTTGTTTCAATAAATATATTCTGCTGTTGACCTCTATTTTTCCTAAAATTCATTCTTCAGTTTTAGACAACACAAGTTCATACCAGACACCTAGGAGGTTGCGAGTTTCTTTTCCCTATATCACTTTCACCATTTGATTTGAAGAACATCAACAGGGCTAATAACATGGCCTGGAGAGAACTTTTTGCAAGATTTTTGCTGAATGAAAGTGTACTTGGAAGGACACTGAGTAGATGGTCTCCAACATTTGTGAAGGTTGCCAGTAGAAATATACTCTATGGTTTTCAGAAATTACTCTGTTACCTAAAACATAACATAATGGGAAAAATATGTCAGGCGTGTAGCTCAGGAGTAAAGCTTGTACTTAGCATGAAGGAGCCCCTGTGTTCAGTTCCAAGCATCAAAAAGTAAAATAAAATGAAATCATACACAAGGACCTTGGGTGTTGCTTTGCATTGCCGTGGCAAAACAATGAACTGGGCAACTGAAGCGACATACCTTTATTTTCTCATCGTTCTGGGGGCTGGAAGTCTAAGACCACCATGCTGGCAGATTTGGTTTCTCCTGTGACCTTGCTCATCGGCATGTGGATGGCTGTTTTTCCTCTGTGTTCTCTTGAGAGTTATACAAAGGCCATGTGTCCATCCACAGATGATGAATTAATAACAGTGTATACATATGTACAATAAGATATTATTCAGTCATGAAAAGAAGTGAAGTTCTGATTCATGCTACCACACCACGTGGATAAGCCAAAAAATATTAGGCTGCATGAAATGAACCAGATGCAAAGGGATAAAAAGGGATTAAAAGATGCAAAGGGATAAACAGATGCAAAGGGCTGTGGGTAGAGCTCAGAGGCAGAGCATTTGGTTATCACAGGAGACCCTGAGTTCATTTGCCAGTACCACAAAACCTAACAAACAAATGACAAACACTGTATTATTTCACTCCCATGAGATATCCAGGAAAGGAAAATTCATACAAACAGAAAGCAGCCCAGTTTAAGCACAAAGACAGGAGGAGAAACTCCAGTTGTCACTCTCCTGGGGACCCCAGTGAACAGCTCAGGTGGACAGCTTTAAAGTGGCAAAGAACCCTTCACACTGACTTGGCTGCCAGGCATCTGCTGCTGAGATCCCTTGCTGTGCTGAGAATGTGACAGTGTGTAATCCTGGGTGTCTTGGTTCCCACACAGTTTTATCTCCTGGAGGTTGGATTGCTGGCTCCAGTCTTATCTCTTTACAGCTGATAACAAGAAAGAGGAAGCACCATCCCCCTCCCCACACACAAGGGATCCACCTTCCCCCACTCTAGGCATTCCAGGCAACTCTTACAAGTCAGGTTTGGTTCATGGCAATTCTCTCAGCAAGGAGATGCAAAACTTCTTTTATGAGACCTTTGAGTAGAGGGGACACTCAGAGACCACAAAGGCCTGGTGAGAGTAAGTGACAGAGTGGAGAGAAAGAGTTCAGCAGTGGTATTAGCTCCAAGGCCCAGCCCCTGATGCTCGGGGAGGCCCACTAGTTCTTTGGCAAACAGCCAAAGATAGACATCTTTTGGGTGTTTCTTGTCCAAGATGAGCCATTTGCTTCCCTTTTTCTGCAATTTCCGTTTGAAAGCATAGGAGATGTTTAAAACTTCATTTGAGGGGCAAGGGATATAACTGGATTGTAGAGTATTTCCCTGGCTTGGATAGGCCCTAGATTCAATGTCCACTACCAAATATCTGGGATTGGCTTTTAACGATTCTAAGACAGTAAGCCTGGGAAGAAATAAGATTGTATTCACATGGCGAACCTGAGTTTACTGAATCTTTTTCCTGGCTTTTTTGTATGCTTGGAAATAAAAGATATTGTGAGGAATTACATTTTAAATGATCTATTTGAAACTTTACTACTATTACAATACTTTTGTTTGCATAAGATTCTTTAAAGTAAAAATTGTAAAACTTTTTTTTAAACAAAGAAATACCATCAGTTAGGCTTTCATATGGTTTTAATACACAGCCAGGTTCAATCATGTAAACGTTTCTATTAATTTAGTCATAAATGTACTTACATTTTGTACATAGCTAAATTATGTAATAAACTAATAAGCACCATTCAACTTCAAAATGAACCTTTCCTGGATGTGTTGACTGAAGCCCTGGGTGCCATCTCCTGTGAGTTTTGTTCCCTCGGGTCTGTCAGTCTGGCCTGATCTTCGGACTTACAGAACCCTTCCTCAGGAGGTCTTGTGCTAGCCAGGCTCTCTGGCGCCTTGCTAAGTTAATGGTCCCTGTAATAAAGGTAACATTTAGAGATACAAGAAATCAAATGAGAGTCAAAAGCTATTTCAACTTTCAGAGAAGCATATTATTGTTTAGAAATCGTGGTTTTTGTCTGTTGTTTGTTTTGTTTTGTTGGTACTGGGGATAGAACTCACAGCCTGGGGCTTGCCAGGCAGGCTCTTGAAGTCAGTTCTCATATTAAAATACAATTTGCCATACTGAGTTGCAACGTGCTTTCTAGCATTGATGAAAGGGCCCCAGGCCTGATTTTAGCAAGTGGAAAAACTGGAAGCCGCTGTCTGCTGGGCATGAGGTGGTGAGCAGGACTCCTGTGTGCAGCAGGCTTCGCACATCACACTCCAAGAGTTTTCCTACATATTTGTGCATTCCTGTTTTTCCAAAACCTCACCGCCCAGGGACTTAATGTTTCCAAGCCTCCATTTCGCTCTTTCAGGTGCTGGTAAGGTGAGTGTCTTTCACAGGGAAGCCCTGCAGCAGCCTTTGCACCTCTGTGGCAGTAAGGATACCCTGAGAAAGCAGGGGAAGAAGGCCTCCCACAAACCCTGCTCAGCAGTCACACTTCTGGGGCTCGGGCTGCTCTGTCTCACACAGCAGCTGCCCTCTCTAGCTGACCTGTCTCACCATCTCTAGGACAAGGAGTATACAATAGCAAAGTCTCCATTTCCCTGGGAAAGTTTTTCTGTTGGTGTTGGGCATTAATTAACTAATTAATTAATCAAATGGTTTTTTTCTTGAGATAAGAACTCGTCCCCTTGCTCATGAATGTTTGCTGCTACCAACTCTGTGAATACTGCTGGGGTTAAGTTTGGGTTTGGGGCATGGTCAGCCTGTGTCTCCACCCCCTCCTCAGAGGTGGTTAACTGGGGGACAGTCCTCTGGCCTCTTTGGTGTCACAGCAGGAGCTCCTGAGGGTTTCCAAGGCAGAACTGAAAGGTGTCATGGCTGTTTGTCTGCGCCAAAGACGAGGGAAGCAAATGTCTCTGTCTTCCATGCTAACGCTCTGTGTGTGCTGAGGCAGTTGTTTGAAGGAACAGAGTGAAGATGCCCTCCGGTGCGAAACCGTCCAGACTCAGCCTCCCTGGGAATTGGTGTTCATTGCACTGATGAGGAAGGAGACGTTTCCAACTTATACCAACTGGACTGGACTTGTCAGTGAGAAAATGACCTGGAGGCACCATGTCAGGTAAGGGAAGTCACCAGACAGGTTTAAAGCGCTCAGGATAAACTGCAGTGAGAGTACCACTGATTCTGGCAGAGGAAGAAAGCCCTTTCACCTCACCTCCGAATCTTCCTAAACTATGACATTCCCCAAAATTTAACTTTCAAAATGATTGCATTTTATTATATTGTTATTGTAGTTACGTATTTGTATATAATCATTGCATTGCATTCGCCTTTTCTGCTTTCAAATTTTAATAATTTTCTTACATTTCCTAGGCTGCTGTGTCTAGTCAGTTTGGCATTACAGCTGGTCCACGCGGGAAACAGTAAGAAACGTTTTGTTCATAGGCTCAGGTTTAACTGCATACAAAATCCGTTTCTCCATCGTTATCAGTCTCACGCCTTATATTTTTGAAAGGCTCTCACGAAGAGAAACACAAAGGTGGTAGAGAAGTCAGCAATGTGGCCACCCCCGAGCTGAGGCCCACGGCGCTCCCTCGGGCCCTGGATCATTTCAGGGCGGGAAACGCAAGCTGCGAGGGCTGGAGGCCTCGGCGCGCGACCCCGCACCCCAGGGCGCACGGAGCGCGTAAGTCTCCCCGCAGAGCTCGGGACCTGCGCGGTGGCGGGGACAGGAGGGGAGGGTCATTCACAGGAAAAGTCAGAAACCACAAGGGGGCAGATCCTCGTCGTCTTCGTGCCACACATCACTACAAATGAAAAGGCTTCCCAGGGAGGCGTTTGTCTTTAAAGGTCCTGGCGCCTAATCCGCAGAGGGCTGCGTCCCCTGGCCAGGGAACCGGGACCGGCTGCGCTGCGGCCCCAGGACGTGGGTGGTCCGCCCACGGAGGCTGCGCTCCCGCTGCGCAGGAGCCGCAGCTGACTTTAACATGTGAAAGGCAATGCGGGCGAGAACCCGGCTCGCGGGGTGCCCCCGGGCGGCTCCTGCCCGCCGGAGCCCTGGGCAGTTTGTTTTTCAGCCCTGAGCTAACAAGCAGAGTTTGGTGAGCACACACGCCCAGCGGGGAGCTGGCTCCGCGGCCTCCCGGCGGCGGCCCCGACCGCTCAGGGCGGAGGCCAGCCGGTGACTCTGTGACCCCGCAGGTGCGCCGCCACCGCGCTGCTGCAGGAACGGGGGCACCTGCGTGCTGGGAAGCTTCTGTGTGTGCCCCGCGCACTTCACCGGCCGCTACTGCGAGCACGACCAGAGGCGCAGGTGGGCACGGAGGCCCTAGCGGGGGTTGCGGGGGTGGGGTGGCCAGAGGGATCTGGGGGGCAGGCATGCTCCCGAACCGCACCGATGCACTGCCCGCTCCGCAGCGACTGCAGCGCCCTGAGCAACGGAGCCTGGACCATCCGCGGCTGCCGCCTCTGCAGGTGCCTGTTCGGGGCCCTCCACTGCCTGCCCAACCAGACGCCTGGCCGCTGCGGTAAGGGCGCGCACTGGACACGCGAACTGTGCCTTCGAAATGAGCGGTCCGGGTTCGGTCATCACTCTGGAAGGTCAAGAGCTTTGTGAACCGCTTATGAGTCATTATTTAAAATTTTCAAGTTTTAAAAACAATGCAGATTGTTGGGTTTAACTGCCCCTTAAGCGTCCTTGACAGTGAGCCAGTTTGAGGAGCTGACAAGCTGGTTAGCAGAAGCCAAGCTAGTCCAGCGGGGCATCAGTGGCGATGTTCCTGCAGCCTCCTCTCCTCAGGCTTGAAGTGGAGAGCAGCAAGGGCCAAGGCTCGGTTCAGGCCCCCTGGCAGGAGCTGCCCTGCAGGGTCAGGCAGCAGGACATTTCAGGATGTGGCATTGCCAGCCTCCTGCGCCCTCCCTCCTTCTCAGCCTGGGTTGGCACACTGTAGCGGGTGGGAGGCGTCCTCCTCCAGCCCAAGTCCCCACATCTGCCTGGGTCATCCCTTAATGCTTCAGTTGTGCAGGGAGTTGAGAGAGCACTCAAAGAAGCCAGAGCTCTATGCACTTTGCTGCCCCTGCCTCCATGTCAGGGGCCTCTGGAGGCCTCCCGCAGGGCAGGGGAACCCCTAATGATTGCATGGCCTTTGACTGCCAGGCCCTCTCTGCTCAGGCATCCTCAGGCAGGACAGCTGGAGGAGAACAAGTGGCGGGGGAGTCTTGCCCTGCAGCTTTGTGCTCAGCTTCCCATTCTTACTGTTGGTGGAGCTGTGCGTGGAGGGGCACATCAGGGAGCGCTCAGCTGCTAACTTACCTTCCAATCCCTTCCCAGCCTGCTCTGCTTCATACCAAGCAAGCAGAGTGGTATTCCACGCATATGTCCACTTCTCTCTCCCCGTAATGCAAACATTTCCCCAAAGTCCCCTGTCACCGGTGAGTTCTCTATTTGCCGGACTTTCGTCTCCAGTTCACCAACTGTTTCTTGTGACCCCAAAATCAGAGGACACAGATTTGGGGGACTGACAGTCAGAATAGTCGGTAACACCTTTATAGTCTCATAGGCACCTCATAGTTTCCTCCTGCAGTTCCCCCACATGTCCCGTTCTCCCAACACACAGAGTACTAATGTGGAGAAAGGGCCGGCTGAGGTCATTTTGCATGTCTCTATAAAGCCTGTGGGGCAGGGACTCGGGTAGGTATCAGATCCCGGGTATCAGATCACTGTCTTACGTACTACTGGGAAATTCCAAGGCTTAGACTATTGACTGTCTGCCACAAACAGTGGCAGATGGCTTCTTCTTTTTTTTTTTTTTTTTCAATTGATTTTAAAGGAAAAAAATAAGAAAAATCAAGAAGCAAACCAAAAGAAAAAAGCAATATGACAACAATAACCACAAAAAGCTGCGATATAGAATTTCAAACTAAGATGATAGGAATTTAACAGTGGTTGCTATATTACATACTGTTGTCTTCAAAATAGTTGCTCAAGTTGGCAGATACGGGCATGTAAAACTGATCAAACAATATATTTCCCTTTGAGCAGTTTCTTTCCATTTTACTATATTGTAATTTTGGGCTCTTATTTGCTGTTTCAGTTTCTTACACTAGTGAGACAATATGGTTTTTACATGTACGAGTCTTTTATTTCACCTATGAGTGTGGTTTCAAAGCCTTGAGTTTATCATTCTTGATAGCTGAGTAGTACTCCACTGTATAAAAACTCCACATCTTTTTTATCCATTCCTCAGTTGATATGTTTTGGTGGTGTTTCCAACACCAATTGACTATTACAAATTGTGTAGCTATAAACATGGGTGCACATACATCGCTGTGGCATGATGTTTTCAGTTCTTCTGGAAAAATACTCAGAAGGAGAATAGCTGGATCAAATGAGACCTCCAATCTTAGTTTTTTGGGAAATCTCCACACTGATTTCTTTCTTTCTTTTTTGCAGTCCACCCCCCCCCACACACACACACCCTACCCCACAACCCCCTCCCTCCGTACCAGGGCTTGAACTCATGACCTCATGCTTGCCAGGTAGGCACTTTCACCGCTGAACTAAATCCACAGCCCATAGCAAGTGTTTTAAATCCTGTAATGGCAGTTTTAGCATCTATAGAAGATGAAATGAAAAACTTTATAATAGTTTGAAAAACATCTACAGATGGGAAGGTTGCAAAATTCAGCCCCCCCCCCAACCCCTCTTTGCTGCTTGAAACCCCTGCTGCTCCCAGGGTGGGTCAGCAAGCCCAAGAAAGAAAAGCTCCCAGCTGTCAAGGTTCTTTCCTCAGGCCTTAAACCACACCAGGCTCTCTTCATTAGACAAAGAATGACTGTTTCTACCTGTGTCCCCAGAAAATCAAGAGCTCATTTTCACAGGCATCAGAAGCCAGTTTAAGGGCTGGAGGTGTAACTTAGTGATAGAGCACCCCCTGGAGTGTGGAAGGCCCGGGGTTCAATCTCCAGCTCCACAAGGAGAAGGATCAGGAAAGGAGGGAGTGAGGGAGGAAGGGAAGGAAATGGGTCAATTGAATGCTGTAGTGCTGGAGAGGAAATTCTGTGTTCTAGTGTGTTCAAGGCCCTGGGTTCAGTCCCCAGCATCAGAAAAAGAAAATAGCAGAACAAAAGAGGAGATTGATTCTATATAATAATAAAATAGCAAGCTCAAGAGATATGCAGGGAACATAAATGTGATGCTGTGAAGAGGGGCCAGGTTAACTTTACTATGTAAACTCAATTTTAAAAAGACACTTTTGTGGAAAATAAAATAAAAGACTGAACCAACTGGCAAACAAACATCTTTGGGCCATACCCACTGTGTGGCCTGAGGGGATGCCATGAGAATGGCCCTGAAGAATCCTGGCCAGCTATGATTCATGTCCAGCCCTGCTGGGACATTCTCGTGTGCACGGGCAAGTCCCTCTGGGCGTGCAGACAGGAAAGGAAGCTGTCTGGTTCCCAGGGACATCCAAGTGTGGCTGCAGATTGGAAACTTTCAGACACTGGGCTGGGCCTCACACTGAGACATGATGCTGTCTCCTCCAGAGTGATCTCCAAAAACTATGACCCCAAAAAACAACAACAGCAACAACAACAAAAAACCCCATCACCGTCACCACCACCACCACCAACAACAACAAAAACCCATAAATAATTTGAGCGCCTTTCCATTCAGCAGTGGAGATACAGTTGCCATGCTGAGCATGCACAAACCTGATTTCATTTATGTTCTCCTTTTCGCATAGGCACAAGGCTAATAAATATGGCAAAAGTTGTTGCTCTGTCTAAAATCTAAAAATGAACTTTTGATAAATATTTAAGTCCTTGCTCAGGCTAATAAGTCATCCACCAGTAGCAGTTTCTGCTCGATGCAGTGTAAAATAACACTGGGTTGCAAAATCACTGATTTTGTAGATATGCATCACAAACATTAATAAAGCAATGTTTAAAATCTTTTTGTATATGAATAGTAGAAGTTCCACTGATTTCTTTCTAAGTTTAAGAGATGACCCCAGGCACCCATGGAGGTCTGCATCATGATGCCCCTAGCTCCATTTTGAGATCTCAGCTTAAGGGATTTTATCGATTCAATCAAATTCACAAAGCGCCTTACAGCAGTGGACTTGGGGCGCTGTATGGTCTCACTGCCTAGAAGGACTGACTGCTCTTCTGTCAGCAGCCTCTTGAGTCACTCCTACCTCAGCCTCTGAAGGCTGGGATTACAGGTGTATACCGCTATGCCTGGACATGCCTGACATACCTTTTCATATACATTTATTGAAAGGTCCATTTTAGACTTAGCCATAGCAGAGAGTTTTATTATACCTATTAGTCTTTTTCTTTCACATTTTTTTTTTGTATTAGTACATTGGCAGTACATAGTGATTACCTTAACAATAGGGAGGTAATATATGTACATAGTACATCATAATTCTTTTTATATCCTTTATGCTTGATCTCTTGGTTCACTTCCCATTTGCTAAAGATCAATGTCTATATTTCTATTACATATGTTTTCTTTTGCTCTTCATTTATGCTTTGGATTTCTCATAGAAGAGAAACCAGACATCTTAGTCACTTTTCTCTCATTGTTGGGACAAAATATTTGATGCTCAAAGTTAAAGAGGGAAAGATTTATTTAGCTCACACTTTGTGGAGGTTTCAGTCCAAAATCGGCTGACTCCAAGGCAGGGTGCACGGCACAGGGGCAACAGTTTAGGGCAGCAGAAGACAGCAAAGCAACAAGAGCAAAGTTGAGGCAAGCAAGCCCCTTTTTCTCCCTTGTACTGTAAGCAGGCTCCTCCCCAAACCCTGGAGCAAGCCAGGCAGGTGTAGCACTCACAGACTCCGTGTCCTCCTCTGCACAAGATGAAGATGTTTACAAAGTGATGCTCCTGGCCTTCTGTGGAGGCACTTGGTTAGACCTCTAAACTCCACAAGTTGACATAATGTATCAACCAATACAGCAGGAATTATTTACAGTTGTGTGCCTGACTTATTTTACTTAACATTACAGTCTCAAAATGCATCCTTTTTTCTACGTAATGCTGTCCGAGTAGTGTGTACAAACACCGCATTTCTTTTCATTCTTTTTATTTTCCATTGTGTTCTTTTAAAAAAGAAAATAAAAACAAATGCAAGAGAGACAAACAAACAACAACAAACTCAAAACAATAACAATATAGAATTCAAAATGACAGGAATTTAACAGTGGTTGCTGTATTGTATACTGTTACCTTCAAAACAGTTGCTTAGATATCCATATATAGACATGCAAAATTGAGCTAATCATATGAGTGTTAACTGTTCTTTTCCAAGAACTAATAGAATTAGTAGTATAGGCGTCTTAGCCATCTATAGTCGTCTTAGTCGTCTATAGTCGAGAGCTATCTTATATATATAGATACAAATTTATGTCTTTTGGCTTTTCCCTTCTTTCTTCCTTTCCCCAACCCCAATTATGTTTGAGCTGTTTCTTTCCTTACAATATTTATTGTAAAGTTTGGGTCTTATTTGCTCTTTCAGT